AAAATATGTAATTAATAACCTGTAATTATTATTAACAGAAACAGGAACGTTATTTGAAACATTTCGATACCTTGTTACAAAATTAATTCATATAAAATTGTGTAAAGTTCCTACGACACAGCCATGATGTGCAGCGAACGACTAATGGAGAAGAATAAAAATAGAATTTACGTGCGACTTCAACAGATGACGTTCGTGTAATGAAATGGAACAACTTGCTCTCCGACAAGGCAACTCTACAAATGAAATCATGATGTAAATACCTTTTGGCAGAGACCAACGTTCTGCAGAACCAGGAGAGGGGAGAATGAAAAAAAGTAAATGATGAAAATGAAGGCGAAGAAGATTTATAAGTTGTGACAAAACGGTTGCCAGTTGAGGCAGAATGAAGAGTTCCATTAAGCGAATTACCAATGAGAGAATTATTTTTCATACATATTTAACCAAACAAACATACGCAGTATTTTGAAATCGAATTAAAATAGATAATTCAACATAACGAGCAAATATTAAAAATGTTCAATAATTATGCATTTCCCGTGTTTTGATCTCTTAAGACAAAGAATATCCTCTCCCTCAGAATATTTACTAAATGAAAATCAACAAAAGAATGCACGGAGATCGGAATCTCGAACTAGAAAGACGAAAAGGTCGCGGAAAAGTATGAAGTAGTCGGAGAAGAAGGAAAGGGGAAGTGAAAGATTGTTGACCGAGAGAGAGAGAGAGAGAAAGAAAGAAAGAAAGAAAGAGAGAGAAAGAAAGAGAGAGAGAAAGAGAAAGAAAGAGAGAAAGAGAGAAAGAAAGAGAGAGAAAGAAAGAGAGAGAAAGAAAGAGAGAGAAAGAAAGAAAGAAAGAAAGAGAGTGAAAGAAAGAAAGAGAGAGAAAGAAAGAGAAAGAAAGAGAGAGAGAGAGAGAGATAGAGATGGTGGGGGGGGAGAGACAAAATCGTTCGACTGAATCCCGCGGCTAGCTCTCGCTTTCTCGCTCTCTTGCTCTCTCTCTCTTTCTCTCTCTCTCTCTCTCTCCTCTTCTCTCTCTCTTCTCTCTCTCTTCTCTCTCCTCTTTTCGCTCTCTTCTCTCAACTACTTTGAAAATAGGGTACAAAAACACCGTACATGAACCAATAATATATAGTAATAGAATGGTACAGAACTGACTTCAAGGAGGTTGTTTTGTAAGCTGAAACTTTGTTACAATGTGGCGGATGTAAACGGTTATAAAAAGCTCCGATTGTATTTTTTGAATGGATTTTTTCAAAAAAAAAAAAAAAAAAAAAAAAAAAAAAAAAAAAAAAAAGACATTGCATTACCCCTAGACCTAATAATTAACTTATTTCATGGATTTACGTTATAATGGTGATAATATCGTGATAATCATTGAACAATATTATTACTGCATCTCGTAAAACAAAGTGGAAAACTTTTGTTGCTCTGAAGGATGTAATCGGGATACGCCCAGGAAGAGGAAGAAGTGAAAGTGAAGGAGAAAGTGAGACTGAGAAAACGGACCCGCTCGCTCTAAACGGAGTCTTCCAAAATTCCGTCAAAATACATTTCTGCTTGATCCTGTTAGATTACGGAGACTACGACTTGGAGTACTGGGAAGAAGATAGGGAAATTAAGATGCCAAAGGCAGTGAAAGAGGGAGATAAAGAAATGGTGATGCTACAACCGCGCAAACTAACTCACATGTTTTCTAAATTTGAAGTAATCGAAAATTCAGATAGGTCAACGAAAATGAGATCTGCACAATTTTTTTACGCGTCCCTTGTTTCATGCGTGGAAAAAATTAAAAGAATTCGGAGCAGTTTTTACAAATACTTTTTATAATATATATTTATATTATATTATATTATATTATATTATATTATATTTTGTTGTCTAAACTTTTCAATAATTTTTTTTACAATATTTTTATATTTTGGATCCTTGTGATTTGTGATTTTCTAGTGAAGTTTTTAATGTCTTCCTTGAAAGCCTTTCTTACCAACTCCCTTTCTGTATAATATTCCCTCTTGATCTTTGCATCAAATATTCCTGGAAATGTATTGCATGCAGACAGACTGACATACAGTATAGTTTTGGTTTCTAGAACAAGATTCTCTTTCAGTTTCCAATCTTTTTAGTCCAGTGGTCAGATCGTGCTCTGCTATCCTATTCACATTAGAAACATGGCATCTTAGGTACCCGGACTGTTGACCAAGAAGCATGCTGATAAATTTAAATCTCCACACACCTGCCATTTATGCTCTTCATATTTCACTTTCTCTATAAATAATATCATGTTCTTGTCTGTTTCCTTGAGAAGAACTGAATGCGCAATTGGAACTGGCGAATATTTTTTCCCAATATATGAGAGAACAGATTTTATACGTACTATTGAGGAATCTATAAAAAGCCTCCAATCACTTGTAATGCATTCTTCAGCTCCCAAAGTATTCACTAAATCAGAAATATCATGGCAGTAAGTAAGATTCTCTTCTTAACAGAAGTACAGGACAAATTACTCTTCACCTTGTCTATACCATGCAAATGATATTCCTGAAGCTAGAACGTACGCTCTTAAGTCTTGACCCCGGATTTGAGTAGCAGCTTCAGAAAGATCTAAGTATTTTACCAAATCATTAAGTTAAGTTTGTGTGAACTGTTGGAACTGCTTGACGTCCTGTTGTTGAACTGGATCTGAATCACTGCAATTGAATTCAGAGTTTGTTTCAGAGTTTGAAGATGATTCATTTCCATTTTTTTTCTGATGGAGAAGACACAGGAAAACCTAGTTAATGAGCGGCGGGTCTTTTGTTGACAAGAGATTTGGATAAATATTTTTCAGGTTTTTAATTGTATCATGCGTAACGTAACATATATACAAAAATAACAATCACCAACATAATTCTGAGGCTCATGCCAAAATCATTGGAACAGCAAAAGGCATGCTAATTTTCTTCCCTTGACTCCATTTCCTTAATTGTACAACGTAAGATTGACAGACTTTTTGGGAGCCCATATTTTGTCCAGATCTCCTCGTTTCATGCATAAGTAGGCATTATATGCCTTTTTACCAACGTGTGTGATATTCCGTCTTCTTTTTCTTGCCACAAAACTCTCATTGAGACAAAATATATCAAGATTATTTTCTAGAAGGCATACTATTTCAAGACACACATCGAGCAAATAAAGCATCCACTCAGAAATGTAACTGCTTTTTAACTGAAAACTGATAGTATACTCAACATGAATCAAAGTAAATGTAAAGAGATGTTTTGTTGCGTGCTAGTCTTGCCAAACGTAACAATTTCAATAAAGAATTCCATAATATTTCCTTGCTTTCAACAGAAGTAACATACTAGATACGTCCAATACATTGATTATAAAAGTTGTATTTGTGAAAAAATAGTACCTGCTAAAGAAACACCGTTTGTATTTTCTAATTCGGGAGGATGAAGTTTTTTTTCAAGAAGACGTATTTTGAAGTAAACCCCAGAATCATGCAGGCCAGTGGACCCTTGAAAGAGGAACGCTCCACCATCATGATTGTTTACTTGTCCCTCCACATATAGACTCGCTCTGTTTCTTGATATTCACGCCGAACTCTCATTCAGACAAATAGATGCTTCTTGAAACAGCAAATTATTTTTGAGAGACTGGTAATTTAAATCCCATGGCCTTTGCTTTATTCTTCTCCTTGCATACTACATGGTAAATTTTGTGGTTATTAATACGGCAGGAAGAGGAAGAACTTTTCCTGTGGTTTTGCGAATCAAAGTAACAATACAAAGGTATACGTAACTTGTAAATACCGCCATTAACGTGTGCAAGTAGTTCAGCTGTAGGACATCTGAGCAGAAAACCTAACAAGGGGCTACTCGATTATGGTCCAGTCAAGCAGAAGCAGATGTTTCTCCCAGAGTTTAGCTTAGCTATGTTCGCGTGTAGTACGGACATGTGCACCGATTATGCACGGGGTCGATCTACATCATAAAGAGTGAGCTCTGACCGGGAGGTCCTAGGTATGAGACCTGACGGTGGCAAGATTTACGACGTTAGCTAGATAGCTACTGCGATAGTACGAAAAAAAAGTAAAAATCACGACCCTTGTGACAAATTTTGGAGCAATTTTAGAAAATGTTTTTGAGGCTTCATGTAATGTGCCCATGTACGTAATGTAAGTGTAATTTTCGTTTGCAGGGCCATATGACTTTTTCTGCCGAAAATTCGCTGTTCTCCGGCGCAAGATAACACAACTTTCTTTTCTTATGAAGTAAATGCGAGAAAGTAAAAAAAAGAAAGAAAAAATATTTAAAATATTTTAATTTTTAATGAAAGACAAATGAAGAAAATTCTGTTATGTCGGCGCAAAATGTTTATGTTTGATTTAAGTGTGAGTGAGAGCGACTCAATGAATTTTGACCAGAGTGACCCCGAACACCACCGTTTCAAGCTCATTTCCAATTGTAAACAAACTTGGGCGAATGAGGTTTGGTATCCAAACAAACTACAGACAACTATAATAGATGGCCAATAGATGGGAAAATAGGAAGAAGGAGAAGGAAGATGACAATGTTTGAAGTCATGAGAAATAGAAAAAAAAAAATCGCGACGAGAAACAAGCACAGGATACAAAGTAGGGGAGACCAGCCAGAAAAACCAGTTGAAGGATAGATGCAAGATGAAGAAAATAAGAAATATAAAGAAAAGTATGTAGACAAGAAGAGAAGAACAACAGAAAATGAGAGGAAGAAAAGAAGATTGAAAAATCGAATGAAAAGAAGGAGCAGAGAGAGCGAGAAGAAAAATAAAAATAAATGAATGAAAATAAAGTAGAAGAGAGGTCAAGAAGAGATGATAACTTGAAGCAGAATAAGCGAGAAAGAAGTGATAAAGGGGAAAAAGCAAAGAAGGAACTAGCGAGAAGAAAAGAGGAGGTGAAGAGGAAGGGGTGATGAAGATGCAAAAAGGAATAAATGAATAGGAACAAGAGAAGGGGGACAAGTGATACAGGAAATGAGCAGAGCCAGCGCGTGGCCCTCGCATACTGTCGCGCGCGCCCACTGCGGCGCGGGCGGGCGGGCAGTGCGCGAAAGCACGCGCGCGCGCGGCTTGCGCATGCGCCGTCGCCATCGATCTCAGCGCCGCCGCCGCCGCCGCCGCCGCAGGAGTCGATACGCCGCCCGCCCGGCCGCGCGCTCGCCCGCTCGCCCGCCGGCTGGTTCAGTCAGTCGCCTTCCGACACGCGCTCGCTCCGCACCCGTGCCCGCCGCCGCGCTCGCCGCCCAGCGCTCTGTGATCGCCCGCCCGCCGGCCCGACGCCGCTCGCATCGCCCTCCGCCCGCGCGCAGCCCTCCGCCCCCGCAGCGATGCCCGCACGGCAGGTGAGTCAGGCAGCGAGCGAAAGAGTCTTCGGCGGCGGCGGCGGCGTGCAGCACGTGAGGGCCCGCGTGGGGCGAAGGACGACCGCTGTCAGCGGGAGGCGGCGCGTGGAACGGGGTCCGCCGCCGCCGCCGTCGCCGCCGCTCACCGCTCCCGCTTTTTGCTTTGTGCTCGTGACGGTAGCGGCGGCGCACGCACCGTCGGGGTGTTGTTTCCGGGACACGCACCAGCGCACTGGTGTTCGGCGACGAGGACTCTGGCTGGTTAGCGCCGCACTGGCGACGGATGGGCGCGAAAATTCGTGCGGCTCTCAAATTCAACTGGTGCCAAAAATTCGCTGGCGCTGTCTTACCTTGCTCTGGGGCTCTCATTAAACATTTCTTCTATCCGTCATATATTCCTAATAAATAATGAAAACATATGACGAGGAGAATAAAAGTATAACATTATGGTGCAATTAATAAATACAATTGATTTAATGTTGAACGATTTTCAGGTTTGCCAGAGAGTTGCAGATCCTGTTCCCCAAATATTTTACGATTCCCCAAATTGTCAGGCAAAAAAGAGGGAATCAGACATTCAACATAATTACGGAATTAAAATGTTTTATTGCAAATGGCTTAAGGGCGCCTTTAAAAATTGCCAAGGGGCAGTCCCCGTTGAGCGCACTCCCACGTATTCGACTACACTTTCAGATTACGTTTAATTTACATAAAAATGTTGAACATTTGAGGAACCACTTCACATTTATTGGAATGCTGTAAATTTTGAAATATATGTTTAAATGTGCAATTCAAAACATATTCATGCTGTTAATGATACACTGTTAAAAGAAATAATGCTATTATTAGTGAGAGAAAAAATGTTACAAGCCTGCTAGTAAGAAATAATTGTAATGCTTTGTGTTTACTTTGATCACCATGCAAATCATTATTGAACATTATTTAAATAGTAAATAATTATTTACAGCTGTAATAATTAAATATACTGAAAAACTTGGTTTATTGTTCAGGAATAAACGTTCTATTGAAAGAGAACAAGTGTGTCGAAGTTCTCAAAATGGTGAACTCGTATATTGTCGTGCCTTTCTTCAATTCACTTCCTTACTTTACAATTACTACAATTATTCATTCTCACAAGATGTTGAACATGAGCAGGAATGAGCCACTGCCAAATGACATCTCCGGTTCATCGTTTTGTACGAAATATTCATTTCTTTTCCCCCAATCTAATTCAGTAAGGTATGGGAACCACATTATCCCGCATCCTTGTAGGGTTTTTTTTAGTTACGGAACTGATTGTACCCTAATATTAGGCACGGTTAAGATACATTTATAAAATGACACCCTTTTTATATTTTCCCGATGCCATTCTTAAGGCGCTTAGTGTACTTCCGGTATGCCAGGAAGACGAACCAGTTGATTCCGGTCAAAAGAACGGCAGCAACCGGCAGGGATTAAAGGGAACCGGAAATGTCCGGGAATGCCTTCCGGCTTCCAATGTACACGTACGAGCTAGTTCCTGACTTCCTGCTTGCAGCGCATTGTAAAAACGTGAGCATTATTCTTTCTGTAATTGTTACAAGCTGTCATTATTGCGGGGGGCGGTATTGATGTATTAATGAGTTTTCTGGGAGATTGAAATCGTATATGACATGACTTATGAGTTTATTACGTGAGCCGTGTATTCGATCGGAAATAATGACTTCCTAGTTCTTCCATCGGTAACTTACTGCTGCCTAGTTTTCTTGTTACTTAGAAACAATGTTGCTTTCATAGCAAGTCACGTGGGCTTTTGTGCATGTGAACTGCTATGAGTTTTTCAATTGATATAAAATGGTTGTACCTATTTGTTTACATTTGAGAGATTTGTTTTTCATTGATTGATTGATTGGTGATTCCCGGCGCCTCTACTGCTAAGGTTCTTAGTCCCGTAACTGTAAAGCATGTGTTTCCTCGCGAGGTAAGTGGCGGTGAACTTCCCTCGCTGGATGGCGAGATCCGGCGCCGACCTACCGTCCACTAGCGGCAACAAGAGGGGGAACCAACTACACTTCGGGATCCGTTTTCCATTAAACATTTTGATTTATATATGACATATTGTACTTGGAAGTACAGGGAAAAAATATTACGAGGAGTATTAAATTATAACTTTAATTGTAGAATGAATAAATACAATTGATTTATCTTAAACCATTTACAGAGTTGTCAGATGTCTTAGCCATCCGCTTTCCTGAATGTGAAATTGTCTTAAAAATGGGGACAATAAAAAATTGAATACGGAATATTACGGAAATGATACGTAGGGGTACGGGGCCTCTTTCGAAGTATTCGGGGGCACATGGACACCCAACCCCCTTAGCACGCGTGTGCTTCAAATTAGACGGGAATACGTGTTTGAAAGTATGAAAATGAATTGCGTAAAATCTTCACAGAAGAACAGTCGTAATGGTCAAACCCGGACAACGATGTTTTTCTGTTATCCGACTACTCCGTAACAAACTTCCGGTAGTAATGTGTCAATGTGTGTATACTTCTCGTAATGACAGTTTATGTCACGAAGGAGGTAACTTTAAAAGTTTCCTCTCATTGTTTTTGTCTGAGAACTGCATTTTTGTAATAACTGAAAATTCTTAATTTTTTGGCTTTTCGTAATTATGGAATGGTATTTACCGAATTTGGCCTGCCAGATAATGTTAGGGATTTTTTGTTATTTAGGAGACACAAGAGTTTCTTTCATATCTTCTCATATATTTGACTCACAATTTGACAGACAATTGACTCAATCGATTCACATTTGTGTTAGAAAAACCTTAACAAGCCGCTCGCTAGTTCCACACAAGGTGTGTTTCCAACACGCTCAACAATAGGATATTTTGTTTTCGACCGTTGCGCCGCCTGGATGAGGATTCTAGTCATCTTATAGAGTGCATTTAGAACAATCTCTACCAAACGATTAAAGAAAAAAATTGGAAACATTTTTGAGGAAACCTTGTTTTTATAATTTTTTAAAATTGCAAGTATTGCACGCAATATTACGCGAAAACTACAAAAAAAAAAAAAATTAACGAACACAACCTTAAAGAAAGAACTCACGAACCTAAAGAAAGAGCCTACATGTACAAGGATTCTAGTCATCAGTTGCTCTGTCCGCTTCCTTGGTTTCCTCCGATCAATTCCACTCGAAGGCCTCAAAAACCACAGAGCATAGACCAAGTGCAATCCTACCTTTCCTACCCTCTCCCACCACCCAAGCACAGGGCGGGCGATGGACTGACTGCCAAACGCCCCATTCCTCAAGACTTGCTTGTAGACTGCGAGGGCGCGAATGTGAAGCCTCGGCTGAATTTCAGAGAAACTCCTTGGGCAGGGAATTCATTTGGATCATAAAGGTGCATGTTAATTGTGTTGCATTTCGTATTACAAATTATTGTACATTCGCAAGCTCTTACTACTTCGTCGCTATGTTAGTTCGTTAGTTTGTCAGCTATTCAGTCCTTTTGATTAGCAGATCAATTAATAACTCAGGTCACTCAGATCAAATTTATGTAATGCTGCGGAAAATCGATTTCGAGATGTCAACAGATACACTTTTGAGGTCCCTAGATACCAAAAAAGTGTTGTTTTTTCAAAACCTCCGAATGTCTGTCCGACCGGTGTCTGTGAACACTACTAGCACCTAAACCATGCGTAGGATGTTTTCCAAATTGAAGAAATCCCTGTCCATCCGGCTCGAGCCGAAACTTTGAGATTTTGAAAATCATTCTTCAAAATTTGGGTGTGCTTTACTTGAAGCCCTACAGACATTAAGATTTTTTTCAAAAACTGCTCCAATTTTTTTCTTTAAATATCATGTAAGAATAGATAAACATACACATATAAAAGTGGCATAGGTCCGATTTACAAGATTAACTCTAAATTTTCGAAAACTTTGAAAAGTATGATTTTTTTCGGCGTCTGCCTTCATCTACAAAATTAAAGATAGAGTTTTTCCTTCAAATAAAATTTCATGTCCATAGTGAGATTTTTCTTTAAGGTCAGGTATATTTTGTGTAGCTTTCGCGCAATATTGCGTGTAACACTTGCAATTAAAATCAAACAAACAAGACTTTCTCAAAAATGGCTCCACTTTTTTTTCTTTCAACTTTTGGTAGGGATTGTGCTAAATGCACTCTATATAATAACATAATCGCCACATTGCTGTATTCTTTTGTTTTTTCAAAAATTACAAAAATGTGATTTTTTGACTTATCTCACATTGTGAAAATTTACACTAGCGGTAATTTGTTGACATTATTAAATGTATGGGTACATGTGCTTGAAATAATGTCAGATAAAGTTTGTCGAAAACTCAACCGTTTTCTGTGAAAAGTACTTCAAAGTTCTGCATTTTCAGAAACGCTCAAATGCTTTTTCTCTGAACCAGTTCCAAATATTTTCTTTAAACATTTCGAACAGGTAGTGCTAATTCCATTCGTTAATATGACGTACAGTCATTTCGGTGTATTTTTTTTTTTTAAATTACACATGTAAATTGTCCGACTAGATATCTCACGCCGTTGATATGCACATTTCCAGCAATTTATAAACTCTATTGTATTTGTGAGTAAAAAGAGCTTAAAATTATTTTTAATGAAGTTATTCGAAAACTCAAAACTTTTCTGTGAAAAAGAGCTTTAAATTTTGAATTTACAGATGAGCTGAAGCGCCATTTTCTTAAAACCGTCGAAAACGTTTTCAAATGAAATTGCCATTTATTACGAAGTTCTACTGTTCTTTTATATTCTTAAAATAATATTTCTGTTTTACTATTAGGAATGCGAAAAATTAAAAAAATTTCAAGAAAATGTACTTTGGGCGGCGATAGATGGCAGCTGGCAAGACTATATGGCAAGTCCCAGTAGCTAGCTGAGACGAAAGAAAGTGGAAAACTAACACGGGAAAGCCTGTGCCATTCTTTAGCACCACTAGTTTACTGATGTCTCAAATCAGCCAATGTTTCA